AGCGCCGCGCCCGACATGCACAACCCCGGCTGGGACGCGCTGGCGCCCGAGGTGCGCGAGATCCGGGAGGCGCAGGCGAGGCTGGACGAGGCGTTCGAGGCCCTCAAGGAGCAGTACCAGCGGGACTACGCGCTCGTGATGCAGACGCTGCAGGAGGAGCGCTACAGGTGAGGGGCGGGGAGGGGGGGTGGAGGGGGAGGAGGAGGAGGCCGAGGAAGGAGGATTGTGTATGGGAAGGGAAAAAGGGAGGCCGAGGAAGGAGGATCGCGTACGGGAAGGGAAAAAGGGAGGCCGAGGAAGGAGGATCGCGTACGGGAAGGGAAAAAGGGAGGCCGAGGAAGGAGGATCGAGATGGGAAGGGAGGCTGAGGAAGGAGGATCGCGTATGGGAAGGGAAAAAGGGAGGCCGAGGAAGGAGGATCGCAATGGGAAGGGAAGGAGGAGCAGAGATGTTCCCGGGGGAAAAAGGGAGGCCGAGGAAGGAGGATCGCGATGGGAAGGGAAGGAGGAGGAGGAGATGTTCCCAGGGTAAAAGGGAGGCTGAGGAAGGAGGATCGCGATGGGAAGGGAAGGAGGAGGAGGAGATGTTCCCAGGGGAAAAGGGAGGCTGAGGAAGGAGGATCACCACTATGGGAAGGGAAAAAGGGAGTTCCCGGGGCAAAAAGGGAGGCCGAGGAAGGAGGATCGCGATGGGAAGGGAAGGAGGAGGAGATGTTCCCGGGGAAAAAGGGAGGCTGAGGAAGGAGGATCGCGATGGGAAGGGAAGGAGGAGGAGGAGATGTTCCCGGGGAAAAGGGGAGGCTGAGGAAGGAGGATCTCGATGGGAAGGGAAGGAGGAGGAGATGTTCCCGGGAAAAAGGGAGGCTGAGGAAGGAGGATCTCGATGGGAAGGGAAGGAGGAGGAGATGTTCCCGGGGAAAAGGGGAGGCTGAGGAAGGAGGATTGAGACAGGAAGGGAAGGAGGAGGAGATGTTCTGGAGAAAAAGGGAGGCTGAGGCAGGAGGCTCGCTGGAGGCCAGGAGGTGGAGGCTGCTGTGAGCGAGGCTGACGCCACGGCACTCACTCCAGCCCGGCCGGGCGGCAGAGCGAGACTTTCTCAAAAATGAAATGAAATAATGAAATGGAATATAAAAAAATAAATAAGTTTAAAAAAATAAAATAACAAAATTAATAAAATAAATAAAAAAATATAAAATAAAATAACAAAATGAATAAAAAATAAAATATAAAATAAAATATAAATAAAATATAATATAAAGT